GCCAGCTCCACGGGGCCGTCTGCCGTGTGGGTTTCCCTTGGCATGCCGCCTCCGTATGCCGCGCGCCTTGCGGGGGTTAAGCCAAGATAAAGACCTTGCTTAGCTAGCAGTTCGTATTCTGTAAGGTAAGGCTAGAGCCCAACCAGGGGGCCCATACGAGACCCTGAACTGTCTGTCCTTCCTTCCACAGAGAGTGGACGGGCCTGCAGGGCTCCGAGGAGGGGCCCAGGGGACCCAGGCTGTTCTGCCTCGGGTGGAGACGGTTGGTCCTGAGAGGTGCAAGGGAAGATAGAGCACAGTGAGGCGAGGGAAACCTGGTGGCTAGGCAGGGCTGGCCGTGTGTTCCGGCCTCCGGGGCGGCTGAGCAGCCACCGCGGAGCTCCAGGGGGTGGCCCGCTCTCGCTGCCCGGCCCAGCCCTTTACGGCAAGCCCCCATGGGCCCCTGCCCAGCGGAGGGGGCCGGGAGGAGGTGGCTGAGGCCGGCAGCCCGGCCCGGCCCGTCTAGCTGGATGGAGCCCGCCATTGTCACCCTCAGGCTGTGTGTCTGCAGCGGCCAGGGACCGGGGCCCCCGGGTAGCTCAGGGCTCAGCCTTGCCGTCTGTCTGCTCTAGGGCCTCCCGCAGCCTGTCTCCCTGAACGCACCCTTAGGGCTTTAAGAAAAGGCGACGTGTAGAGGGTCGTCCAAACTTGGTGCTCGTGCCTCAGGCTCCTGAGCCAGAGGCCCCTGCCTGCAGGCCTGGGGCAGCGTGGCGCCGGCCACAGAGGAACGGCTGCCTGGCGGGGGGGCAGTGCTTTGCCTTGGTGCCCACACGGCATGGCTCCTGCCGCTCCCGGGAACGCGGCCCGTGCCCCGGGGCGGTCAGCGTGGAGGCGTGCAGGGCCGTGTAGGAAGGGCCCGTCTTCGGAAGCGGGTGAGGAAGGTCGTCGTGAGGCCCCCGTGGGCCGCGTGTCGGCGTTAGGGAGCTGGGCCCTGGTACAGCCGGCCCGGCCACTGCTGGTGCGGCTTGGCGTCCCCGGGGCCGAGGGCTCGAGGAAAGGAAGCCGGCTGCTAACGGGGTGCTGGGGCCGGCCCATCCTCCACTGTCTGCCGCGTGTTTAAGTGGAAACAGGCGTGGGGCCGCCGCAGTCTAACGGCCTCCCGGTCAGGGTGCACGTCTGGGGACGGGCTGTGCCACAGTCCTGTTGGAAAAGCCCAGAAGGTAGAGCAGGTCGCGTGCGCGTGCGTGGGGGCCTCACGCCATCAGAGAAGGCGTTGTGCGGCCGGGACCGGCTTTGAAGAGGTCCGAGGTGTGCGTGCGGAAGCATCTGGGCATCAGGCTCCTGGTCCTGGCCCACAGGGGACCAGTGCCTTCTGTTCCTCTGCCCCGTGGCCATCACGGGCGGTCTCCCTGGGCTGGCCTGCGAGCAGGGCCTGGCATGCGGCCGGGGGGGCCTCGGTGCCAAGGCTCCCGGGGGGGAGGGGAGGACGGGGACCTGCTGCCTCCGGGCAGACCAGGGGCACGGCGCCGGGGGTCCCTGCCAGGAGAGGCGGGGCCTGCAGCAACCCTGTTCTGTCTGTCTGACCGTCCGTCCGCCTGTAGGAGGCTTTGGTTCCCTGGCCTGGGGGAATGTTTGGGCCCCCCCGAGAAAGACACTGAATCTGCTGCCTTTTCTCCCACGCGCGTCTCTGCAGGTAATTAGGATTTCTACCTCAACCGTGAGACCTATGCAAGGACGGGCTGGGCCGGCGGCCGGCCACGGGACGGCAAGGACGGACTGAGGACGGGGGACGAGGCTCTACTGTGAATCCGCGCTGTGCAGACCTGCAGGAGGCGCTGGGGCCTGGCTCCGGCTCGTACTGTCGATAGTTTTAGATAAAGTATTTATCGTTTTTTAAAAAGTATAAACAATCCTGACTTATTTTACTCCACCGAAGTCGTAAAGGCAACCTATCGAGAAGTGTAAATACTATATATGAGAGGATCTATATACAGACGTCCACCCGAAGGACTGGCCTGCCCGCGGACGCGCTGACCGCGGTCCCGGTGCTATCTCGACGCAGGCCTCGCCGCCGCCTCATCCTCTTGGTGCTGACTGGAGGTTGACCAACGCCAAAACCAGGCCGTGAGGCGCCTGCCCTATTTATTCTCGCCGCTCTTCCTATACCAAAGGCATGGCTGTCTCCAGGTGGAGGGTGGCTCGCGCTGTTGTGACATTCCTCGGAAGAGGCCCTCTCCCCGAGGGGGCGCCCGCCCCCGCCCCATCACTGTGAACGGCTCCTACCGGACTGTTGGCCCTTCGGCCTGGGATCAGCGCCTTTGGCATAGGAACGGTCGGCGGGCGTAGGGCGGTCAGACCCTCCCCGATCCTGCGCGGGACCCGTTCCGAGTGGTGCTTGGGGAAGGTCTGGTACCCGATTCCCGACGGCGTGGCGGGCTGGTGCAAGTGCATTTACTGTCGGACGTCCCTGCTCGTCCGGGGCTCCCGCCGTGGTCCACCAAAGCGCGTAGTAAGCTCGCGGCACGTGGGCCGGTGAAGTGGGGCAGGTTAGTCACGGGTGCTTGGTGTGTCTGTACAGAGGAGAGTCACGCTGAGGAGTGACAGTATTTTATAGAGATGCGATGAAAATTTATAAATTTCATAGACTTGACTTCATTTATTTTTAGATTGTATAATGCATAGTAAACTAAAGAAGAAAAGTGAGGGGAGAACCTTTCTATTTATTCAAGTGCACACAGTGGCATGGGCCCAGGGCCGGCCCTCGGCCCCGGACCGCGTGACCGCGGCTCCCGGGGTGGAGTGGACAGGCCCCGCGCCCCGCCCAAGCCCCTCTGGCCAGTCTGTGTGGTCGCTGAGGCCGTGCCGCCCCCACCCCGGAGCAGCTCTGATGGTGCTTGGCAGTGAACGCACTGGGGGGGGGGGCGGGGGCAGGGCAAAGCTGGGAGAGCTGTTCGGAGGCGTCTAGAGGTTGCCAGTAGGGCTCTCCAGCCCCTCCAGGGTAGCAGTCGGCCAGTGTTGTGTGTGTACGTGGTTTTCAGAGGGTGCGTCCAGAAGCCCCCAGGCCCCCTGAAAGGGCCAACATCAGCCCAGGTCCTGGCAGAGGGATCTGGACCCCGAGATGGGTGCTCTAGGAAGGGCTGAGTCGGTGAGGTCAGAGCCCTGTCCTCAGGTGCTTGCATCCCCCAAGGAACACAGGGAACTTGCCTCTTTCCAAAGGTGGGCTGTGTTTAGCCCGTTGCTCAAGTAGAGGCCCTGAGCTCCTGCCTGCCCGGGAGGCTCGGCCTGGCCCCTGCTCTTCTGGTGGGCAGGCGGAGGCCTGAGGCATGCAGGCCAAAGACGGCCACCGCAGGACCCTTTTCTGCCTGCAGCCGCCGCCTGGAGGCAGACCAATCTGTGCGGGCCGGGTCAACCCGTTGGCTGTTCTGGAAGTTGGCTGGACCCCTGGTTTCCACAGGCAGGGGCCTGCCAGAGCCCTGCTTTCCTGCTTGCCCTGGGGGTGACGCCCCTGGCCCAGAGCAGTAGTTGAGGCAGAAGATGGTGCTCGCGATGGGTTCTTGAAATTGGCCCATCCTTCTGTGACTGGCTGCCCTGGCTCCCTCCCTCTGGGTCGGCGCCCCCGGGGCATGACGGTGCTGTGCCTCACCCCCGTGAACCCCAAGCCCTGGCCCCCAGGACAGGGCAGTGTCTGCTTGGCCACACACACACACACGCCCACCCGTGTCAGGGGCACAGGGCTCCCTAAAAAGCTACAGGGTGGGTGGACAGCGGAGAGGTCACGCCGGAGTCCCCAGCGTAGAACAGAGCGGCCCTGTTCGCACATGCTGCGTCACTTCAAGGGGCCCGCACGGTCACTGACGTGGGGCTCCCTGCGGACGTGCCACCCTGAGTCTCCGGCACGAGCGGGGGCGTGTTTGGGATCACCCCGCGGTGGCTGGGCTGACCCTAGCAGGAGGGGAGGGGCAGCAGGCCCGTGCACAGAGCCCCGGGGCTACCGCCGACCGCGGGCAACTTCAGGGAAGGCGGGTGGGCCGCAGGGGGGCTCTGCTCAGGAAAACCGAACCGTGAACACGGCCCTCCCGGGCAGCTCACCGTCTCTTGCAGCTACGGACTGTGATTTACCTAAGGCTCACGCGCCCCTCTTTACCCGCCCCGCCCGCCCGCCCGCCCGCCCTCATTCCCATGGTCCAGCCACACTGGTTTGTTTCCCACGTCTCTCGACCTTGGTTTGTAATTCAGACGGGGCTTTGCTTTGTGTTTCTGGTAGACTGTGTTTCAGTTGGGGGTGCTGGCATGGCCTGTCCCTCCCTGGGCTGCTGGCTTGACCCTCTTTTCCTAAGAGAACCCCAGTGCACTCTGCATTTCCACCTCTAGGCGCTGTAATAAAATACTTTTCACTTGAACCTCATCTGGCGGCAGCATTTCTTTCTGACGATGATGCAGCAAGGAAGGGAGAGGTGTGAGGGCCAGGGGTCACACTCACCATTCCCCAAGTGGGGAGGATGGTGCTCCCGGCAGAAGCCTGGTAGGTTCCTTAAGGCAGCCCCGTGACCACGGCAGACAGCAAGCACCCTCCTCAGGGAGGCCCAGTCCCTCCCGTGCTTACAGCTGATTAGGCCAGGCCCACCCAGGATGCCTCCCTTTTTTATTAAAAGGGATTGACTTAGGATTCTAACACTGGCAAAAACCCTTTCTGAGGTCCTGCCTGTACTCAAGGGAAGGCCTAGGAACTGGGATCACAGGTCACCTTCAGGTTCAATCACACCACCCTTCCATTGTCCCTTGGGGCCTGTTAGCACTACAGGCCCCATGGACCAAGCAAAGTCCCAGCCTCCCTGCCTCTCCCTGGTCTGGTTCTAGGTCTCTGTCCCTCTACTGGGGCAACCCGGCCCTTGCTCCTGGGCACTTAAACCTCCAAGCTGGGGAGGACTGCCGTCCCACAGAGGCCTCACTGCCCTGCCTCGGGAGCCAGCTCCAACCACCTGGGGCCAGCAGCCCCTTCCTGCATTCACGGCAGCACCATCCCACGTGGAAAAGAGGTCCCTTTATTTGAATACAACAAGCACGCTGGCCTGAGAGTGAAGACTTCCAGCTCCACCCAGAGGCGTCCGGCCAGGGCCTGCCCCATCAGCAGGAGTAGAATTCACAGTGGCTCCAGCAGGCGTGGCCCCCACGCCCGTCTTCACAGCATCGTTTAGCTTTGTACATTCAGCCTGCACAGGCCAGGAGAGCTACACCAGCCTCAGGAGCCTCCAGACCCCAGACGGATGTGCCCGAGGGACTGGACGCAACTTCTAGGAGTGGACGTTTGTCCCCCGGTAGCAGCATGGGGCACCAATAGGTGCAGACCAGTCCAGGGGCCGGGGGGGGGCGGTCAGTGGGTTGTTTCTCCAACCTGCCCCTGCCCACCCCCACCGATCTTGGGTTTTTGAAGTCTTTAAGCCAAACATCTGCTGCAGCAAATCCAGGCTTGACCAGGAAACCCAGGGCCTGGAGAGGATGGGGCGGGGGGGTTGTTCCAGACTCAGGCCTTCAAGCCACCCAGCTGGAACCTGGCCTCCTCAGATATGCCGAACTGCTCCAGGGGGTCCTGTGTGGGTGAACGGGCAGCATGAGCCCAGGCCCCAGGGGCCCACGCCCCTGCCCCCACCCCCGGCTCCCCTGGACCCTCTGTGTACCTTGCCAGTCATCTTCTGGATCTCATTCCTGTAGAATATGAGGCTTCTCCGCATGAACTCGTAGCTGGGGGAGAAAGTGGCGTATGCTCACAGAGCCCTGCTGTGCCCCAGACCCCCCCCAGGCAGGCCCACACCCGACCTGGCTCGCCGCAGAGCCCCCATCCACTCCTGACACTGCTCTTCACTGCAGCACTGGAAGTGATACTTCCTCTCTGGGTCCTCCATGAAGCCTGCAGAGGGAGCAGCCCCCGTCTGTTCCCGCCCACTGCCCGCCCCCCCAGCCCGCCACAGGCCTCAGCTTCCTCTTGCCTCCGTCCTAAAGTGTCCCCTCCTCCAGTCCCAGCCCAGACTCCTGGCTTCCCACCAGTTGTGCTGTGGACTGAATTGTGTCCTCAGAACAGAATGTTCAAGTCCTAATCCCTAGAACCTAATAATACGACCCTATTTGGAGTCAGGACGGTTACAAGTGCAATTACTTAACGGATCAACCTGAAAAGAGTTGGGTACCAAACCTAATCCCATTAGTGTCCTTGTAAAAAGGGGAAATTTGAAGACAAACACGCAGAGGATGAGCCACACGCACATGGGAGACTACAGGATTGACTCTACAAAGGCAACGGGCACCTCGGGCTGCTGGCGACCCCTGGGAGCCAGGATCGCTTGGTAAAGTTTCCCTGGCAAGGAACCACCCCTGCAGACACCCTGTTGTCGACTTCTGCCCTCCTGGACTCGGGGAACACACATTTCTCTCGTTTGAGCGCCACACCAGAAAACCAGCACAAACTCCGCCTTCCTCTGCTGACTCGACGCTCTCAAGACGACCCGGAGGATCCTCCCCAGCGCCCAGAACCCGGCCGGGCACCCGAACAGTGCAGTGCTTCCCAACAAGACAGAAAGTCCTAGGGCACCTGCGGCTGCAGCTAGCAAGTGGTTACGCCCCGGGGGAAGAGCCCGGCCCGCCCTCCGGCCGCCCGGGGCAGTGGACTTTGCCTCCGCGCAGACAGACGTGGCGACCGGGCCCGGGAGGGGCAGGCCCGGGGCCGGCACTCACTGATGGAGAAGCCGCTGGGCTCCTCCTGGGTGACTCTGCAGCGCTCCAGCAGCAAGGCTCCGACGGGCTGCGGGCAGAGAGGCGCGAGGGGGCCGGTGAGGGCGGGCCTCCGCGGGGACCCCGGCCCCCGCCTCGGCCCCGC